CAAGAGAAGAGTAAATATCACCCAAGAGCTTTACCTCCTCTTCTGCGGAAGGGATTAGTGCACTTTGGGTTGTATGCAGGATAATTGTATCATGTTATGCAGAACTATTTTCTTGTTATTGTCTTTATTTGGAGATTAAATATGATTTAGGAGATGCAGATGGGTGCCAAGTTGACAGGGGGTAGACTTATGATGTTAATTTTGGGTGTCCACTTGACTGGATTAGGGAATACCTAGAGAAATGCTAAGAGTGATTTCTGGGTGTGTCTGTGAGGATGTTTCCAGAGGAGATTGGGTTGTGAGTCCATGGACCAAATGGGGAAGATCCGCCCTCGGTGTGGGCAGACACCATCCAATCAACAAGGGCCCAGATAGAACAAAAAGAGGAAATTCAAATTCTCTCTCTCTTTCTCCTGGAGCTGGGGCACCCTTCTTCTTCCCTTGGACATCAGAACTCCAGGCTCTCTGGCCCTTGGACTCTAGGACTTGCACCTCCACCCCACAGAGTTCTCAGGGCCTTCTGCCTCAGCCCGAGGGTTAAACCATCAGCTTCCCTCATTCTGAGTCTGTAGGACTTGGACTGAGTCACACTGCTGGCATCCCAGTGTCTCCAGCTTGTTAGACAGCCTGTTGTGGGAATTCTTGGCTGCTATTATCACATGAGCCAATTCCCCTATCACCTCTCTCTCTCTCTCTCTCTCTCTCTCTCTGTCTCGCTATCTATCTATCTACCTACCTATCTACTTGGTTCTGCCTCTCAGGAGAACTCTAATACAGGTGTATATTTGTCTTATTTCTTCTTTCTTTCTCTTTCTCCTTTCTTTTCTTTTATTTCCTTCCTTCCTTCCTTCCTTCCTTCCTTCCTTCCTTCCTTCCTTCCTTCCTTCCTTCCTTCCTTCCTTCTCTTTTTCTTTTTCTTTTTTTTTCTTGAGACAGTCTCACTCTATTGCCCAGGCTGGAGTGTAGTGGTGAGATCTTGGCTCATTGCAACCTCTGTCTCCCGGGTTCAAGAGATTCGCCTGCCTCAGCCTCACAAGTAGCGGGGATTACAGACATTCGCCACCACACCCAGCTAATTTTTGTATTTTTAGCAGAGACAGGGTTTCACCATGTTGGTCAGGCTAGTCTCGAACTCCTGACCTCAGGTCATCCACCTGCCTCAGCCTCCCAAAGTGCTGGGATTACAGGTGTAAGGCACTGTGCCCGGCCTGTCCTATTTCTTTATTTCTTTTTTATATATTTCTTGGAGACAAGAATAGTCTTATTCATCTTTTTTCCCCTGTGCAATGAAGGAATAGAATGATACAAAGCATGCCTACTTCCCTCTATTCTGCGTATCCCAAACTTAAACCATTTTTATATCAGTTAAATTCTCAGCTTTTCCTTAAATCTGCGGCAGCCCACAGAGAATAATCAGCTATTCACTTATCCCTTACCCTTTCTTGCCACATGATTAAAATGCAGTAAGCAGTGAATGAATGAAGAAATGAATGAATCCTACACTACTTTGTATTTCCCCTTAGTTTTGCATGGCTAATGTGGTCATCCTACCTAGATAGTGTGACAGGAGGGACTGTGTGTTTCTTATTCTTCCCATGATATTGAGTCAAAGCCAGGGAGAACTAGGGGACCTCGGTAGGCAGGTCTGTGGAGACCCAGCCTTGATTTCTATTGTTGTCTAAGGCTTCTCTGGTGTGTTTGAGTTTCCCTATTACTGGACTTTTGCCTCTTGTCCTGCCATTAGGTGGATTAGTGGTACTTCTGTGAGTGTGCAAGGCTCGGTGATTTAGCCATGAAAAACTAAGTGTACCACGGCTTATTTACATCAGTGTTGTATTTTTTGCAAAGTATTAACTTTCATTTTTTAACCTGGGCAAAATGTAGGTGAGTTTTAAAAAGTTATTTTCTTTATTATTCTATGATTTTGAAATCGTATGTCACTATTTTATTGGTATAAAACATACATAACATTTAGCATTTTAACCATTTTGAAGTGTGTAGCTCAGTGGCATTAAGTACATTGGTAGTGTTGTGCAACCATCGCCACCATCCGTCTTCAGAACATTTTTATCATCCCAAACAGAAACTCTGTGTCCTTTAAATACCAACTCCCCGTTCTCTCCCCCCAGCCCATGGTAACCACCATCCAGCTTCCTGTTTCTAGGAATTTGACTACTCGGGGTGCCTCGTGGAATTGTACAATAGTTGTCCTTTTGTAAGTGGCTCACTTCACTTAGCTTAAGGTTTTCAAAGGTGTGTCCTGGCTGTAGCATGTATCAAAATTTCCTTCCTTTTTAAGGATGAATAATATTCCATTGTATGTATAGTTCACTGATATAGTTTGAATATTTGTCCCTGCACAAATCTCATGTTGAAATGTAACCCCCAGTGTTGAAGGTGGGGCCTGGAGGGAGGTGTTTGTATCATGGGGGCAGATCCCTCGTGGTTTGGTGCTATCTTTGAGATAGTGACTTCTGTCAAGATCTGGTTGTTTAAAAGTGTGTGGCATCTCCCCACCCACTATCACTTTCTTTCTTTCTCTCTCACTCCTGCTTTTGCCATATGACTTGCCAGCTGCTCCTTCGCCTTCCGCTGTGATTGTAAGCTTCCTGCAGCCTCCCTAGAAGCTGAGCAGATGCCAGCACCATGTTTCCTGTCCAGCCTGCAGAACGTGAGCCAATCAAACCTCTTTTCTTTATAAATTACCCAGTCTCAGGTTTTGTTTGTTTGTTTTCTTGTTTTTGAGACAGAATCTTACTCTGTTGTCCAGGCTAGAGTGCAGTGATGTGATCTTGGCTCACTGCAACCTCCACCTCCCAGGTTCAAGCAATTCTCCTGACTCAGCCTCCTGAGTAGCTGGAACTACAGGCGTGCACCACCATGCCTGGCTAATTTTTGTATTTTAGTAGAAATGGGGTTTCACCATGTTGCCCAGGTTGGTCTCAAACTCCTGACCTCAGTTGATCCACCCACCTCAGCCTCCCAAAGTGCTGGAATTACAGGCATGAGCCACCGCGCCCGGCCTCAGGTATTTCTTTATAGCAATGCAAGAATGGACTGATACCACCACGTTTTATTCATTCATCCTTTAACGGACACTTGGGTTGCTCCCACCCTTTGAGTATTGTGAATAATACTTCTATTACTGTTTTTAAGAAAGAATCCTATTTACAACAGTGAAATAAACAGATTGTATTTTGCTGCATAGTTCCAGAAAACACTTGGAACATAAATATAAGAAGAAGCAAAAGTAAACAAACCACAAAAATCAAAACGACTTCAAGTTCAAACTGTGAGCATCATTGCTTCATTAAATAAGCATTTGCTGAGGCCCAGAGTGGGCCAGGCATACACCCCGAGTTTCCAGCCAGCTATGGGAGGCTTCTTCCTGAGGGGGCAGACAAGGCCTAGAAAGTTAGCTGTGACTATAGGTACGATGTGGTTGAAGTTAGCTGTGACTATAGGTACGATGTGGTTGGTGCCGCAGGTACATACAAGCAAGGTCTCTGTGTGTTCAGAGGTGGGGAAAGAACCCCTCTGGTTGACAGGGACTATGAGGAGGGCTCTCAGGAGGTGGTAGACTTCGGCCCAGTGATGATAGAGGTAGAGGAGGAAATTTACTATGGTCAATTTCCAACTCTGCTCTTCTTTGCTAAATCCAAGGTGTATTTTTCTGTTTCTTGGACCTGTTCCAAGGGTTCTGGGTCTCTGTGGTGCACATTACTCACAGCTGTTAAGTGGTCTTCATCCTGCATTTAAGCAATCTTGTTACTTACTCTTGAGTTGGTCTGTCTCCAACAAGTGCCTTGGATTTATTTGCTTGGCTTGGTTCTTTTGTGTGTCTCAGGGCAACTGAACTCTGGTCAGCTTTCTGGAAGAGTTGAGTTGCTTCTCTTTCTGGGATCTGGGGCAGCTCCTGGTCCTCTTCCACCCACTGGCTAGACACAGACTTAAGATCCCACTGTCCATCCAGGCGCAGCCTCTGGTGGAGTGGAGCAGTGAGCAGCCCAGCTCTCCCACTGCGTTGCTGCCTTGGGAAAGTTATTCCATCCCTCCCACCTTCATGTGTAACATGAGAAGACTGGGTGACTTCTAAGACCCTTTTCAGCTCTGTGGCTTTTTCTTTTTTTTTTTTGGAGACAGAGTCTTGCTGTATTGCTCTGGCTGGAGTGCAGTGGCATGATCATGGCTCACAGTAGCCTGGACCTCCTGGGCTTAAGTGATCTCACTTTAGCCCGCCCTTGAATAGCTCGGACTGCAACACCATGCCCAGCTAATTTTAATTTTTTCTTTGTAGAAACAAGGTCTCACTATATCGCCCAGGCTGGTCTTGAACTCTGGGGCTCAACTGATCCTCCCATCTCAGTCTCCCAAATTTCTGGGATTACAGGCATGAGCCACCACATCTGGCCTTAGCTCTGCAATTTTATGATCACTGTCTTAGTCCATTTGGCATGCTATCACAAAATACCCAAGACTGGGTAATTTATAAACAACAGAAATTTATTGCTAATAGTTCTGGAGGCTGGGAAGTTCAAGGTCACGGTGCCAGCAGATTCCCCATCTGGTGAGGGCCCATTCCTCATAGATGTCTCCTTCTATGTGTCCTCACATGGTGGAAGGGGTGAACAAGCTCCCTCAGACCTCTTTTCTATGAGCACTAATCCCACTCATAAGGGCAGAGCCTTCATGACCTAGTCACTTCCCAAAAGCCCTGCTCCTTGTCACCACAATGGAGATTAGGTTTTGACACATGAATTTTGGGGAGACACAAACATTCAGACCATAGTAATTGCCCATATTATTATTTAATTACTTCCCTCCAGCACTCTTGGAGTGGATGACTCAGCAGTCTGATCGTTTCGCTGTTTTTAAGGAAGCTTGATCTTGTGCCATCATGTGTAGCAAGTATATGTTCAATAGTTGAACAAGCGGACTGTCCTGACCCAGCTGGAGTTAGGCTGAAACTGACTGGATTTCTTCATGCTGTCCTCTTTCAGGGAAGCAGCACAGCACCAGCTAGGCAGAGATGCCCCAGGCCATGTCAGAGCTTTGATCGAGGCCTGGTAACAGGGAGGCGCTGTCACCCACTGGCCTTGCCAACCCAGCTCCAAGATGCTGAGCCTGAAGCTCCCCAGGCTGTTTAGCACAGACCAGATACCACAGGTATGTGCTCTATTTATTATGATGGTTCATTTCCAGGGTGTGACCAGGGCTTGGCCTCTGCAACGGGGGACTGTTGTCTTCACCTAGTCTGTTCTGTACAGGCCCATTCTCTTCAAGGATCCCCTCCCACACTTCCTTGGGGGATATTACAGCCTCCTTCCCCCACCTACCTTGAAATGGAAGTATTCCCAAAGTTGTTTAAGTTATAACCCTTCCTTATAACATCTGTGTTTTATCCAGAAGCAAAGTCATTACTGAGATTCAACCTGAAGAGAGAAAGCCAGCAGCAGCTGGCTGGATAGGAGGTTTATTTTTTTAGGACCCTTCTATGGGTGCTTGAAAGCAGACTATGGGCAAAGGCACACCAGGGCATGGCTTTGCTCATCCCCGTTACTTGCAGGATGCCCAGGCCAGGGCTTCATGGGGTGATGGGGAGGGTTGTTGAATGGGCTTAGCACTGTCTTGTAGTGGACTCATGGGCCTGGGAGCTCACAGGCATGTATCCTGAAACATGTGAGACTCCCTGATGATCTGCTTTAATAAGCCATAGGTGAGCCTGGTTGTGTGCTACAGAGAACTGGTGCACTTCCTCCTTCCCTTGCAAAGGACACATCGTTGTGTTGCACCTCCTTGTTGATGTCAAATTTCCTTCCTTTTTGACTAAGAAGAGTGGGTGTCATTTCATGGTGGGAAGTTTCATTGGGAAGATGTGACAGAGTGCAGGAGAGTTCTACTTGGCTGATTGCCAAGCACTTATGACTTGCCCTAGAAAAATAATTTCAAAATAAATTCAACATCACCAATAGAAGGTTGAGGAGGAAACTGCCAAACCCTATCCCTAAAAGCCTGTGAAGCCAGGTGATTCCAGGAAGATGGCATGGGGGAAAACCATAAGGGATGCAGAGTTGTTTGGTGGGGTGAGCTGAGGAATGTGGCAAGTAATAGGCAAGCTACATGTGTGGCTGGCTCCCATGATACTGGGCAGAGCGCCTGCCTCTGTTCTCACATGGCCATCACCTTCTCTTCTTGGTGCACTTCGCTGGTTGGTTCTACCCACAGAGCATTAGCAGCTGTGATTAGTGGGAACACAGTGTGATTCTTGAATGTATTTACTCATGAAATTTGTATTGACTGCCTATTATGTGCAAGGGATTCAGCGAATAACTACGTACAAATCCTGTCCTTGCGTGGCTCATATGCTGGTCAGGAAGATTTTTAAATGTGCATGAGAAATTCTTTCCTAAAGTGGGTTAGGGTCTCTCTTAAGACAGGGTGATTGTTTCAGAGAAGGGATTGGTCACTTCCATCATGGGGGAGTGTATTAGTTCATTCTCACATTGCTATAAAGAACTGCCTGAGACTGGGTAATTTATAAAGAAAAGAGGTCTAACTGACTCACAGTTCTTCATGGCTGAGGAGGCCTCAGGTAACTTACAATCATGAGGGAAGAGGCACGTCTTACATGGCAGCAGGTGAGAGAGAGCACGATGTGAAGGAGGAACTGTCAGACACTTATAAAACCATCAGATCTTGAGAGAACTCACTCACAGTCTGGGGGACAACACCCCCATGATGCAGTCACCTTCCACCAGGTTCCTCCCTCGACACATGGGGATTATAGGGATTACAATTTGAGATGAGATTTGAATGGGGACACAGAGCCAAATTATATCAAGCAGGAAGGGATCAGGGAAGTCTTCATGAAGGGGGTGATCTGTAAGACAGATTTTGAGGGGAGGACAGGACTGTGGAGCTGGGGAGAGCATTCCAGGTGGAAGGAGCAGTGTGAGCAAAGGCCTGGAGATGGGAGATCATGGGACAGGTGGTGATGGCAGGAGGACTGGGGAGCCTCTTTCAGGTAGAGGTATGGCAGTCTGCTTGTACATCTTTCTGGACATTTTGGTCAGGGTTGGGTTCAGAGTATGTCCACAGGAAAGAAGTGAAGGGGGCAGAGTGGTATCAGTAGGTCCTTTGGGTAACCTGCTGGGAATCTGAATGTATGGAGATTCTGAATGTCAGGACTGGACAACCAAGGCAGAGGCCAAGGGAGAAAGATGAATATGTCCTCTCTGTCCAGTTTTTCGTAAGTTAGAGGATGATAATATCTTTTAGTGAAATGGCACTAGCTAGAGGCAGAAAACCAGCATCACACCTTGCATCCACCATTTGCTTCAAAATCTTCCTTGGGCTCCAGCATCCACTAGTGGGTTTTTGGGCATCATACCCAGGGTTCATGAAGCCATAGAGAAAATACAGTGGCTCTGCCTGCCTGGAGGGTAGTTTTGCCTGAGGATTTGGTGCAAAGACATTTATTAGTATTAAAACAGATGCACGCATATTAAAAATGGAATGCACAGTTTACATGAATATTTAAAATAGGATACTTCATACAATTGTTAAAGCTTACCTTTGGTGGGCTCTGTGGGTTCCAATACTTGGTTTTTAGAGTGGCCTCAAGCAAGATAATCTCTCTACCTCAGCTTTTGCTTCTGTAAAATGGGAATGAAAATAGTATCTGCCTCCTGAGGTTTTGAGAATTAAATGAGATGCCCCAAGTGAAGTGCCTGTCACGTGGTGAACAATTAATAATGTTGGTTGTCATTATTGTCATTCTCTCCTAGGCTCTCTAGGGCACTATGAGGGGTAGAGCATGCTGGCAGGAGACTTCAGAGGCCCTGTCCATAGACTAGAACCCCAGCTCCCCAGCCTGCTGTTCACCATCTTCACCAGCTTGATCCCTCCCCACCTCTTCCACCACGTCCCATCCACAGACCCTCTTCTTTTTATTCTTCCCAGCAGATGCAACCTTCACTTGTCTTGATTTCTGTTTGAAGAAGGCTTTCCTCTCCCCAACCTTTGCTCCCCGTTTCTGGTTTCCTTCTTTGTGGAGTGGCGTGTGCTTACTCCCTTCCCTGAGCTCTTTCAGCTGTTGGCTGTACTTCTGCAAGCTGCTCTGTACACCTGCCTCTCCTGTTGTATATCAGCCAGCTATGTGACCTGGGCCACTTCACTACCCTGTCTGGGCCTCAGCCATCTATGGGGAATGGTGTGCCCACCTCTCTGCATCATCAGAGTTGTAATCTTGGCCCATTCTTGGTGCATTCCTGGCTGATAGATTGTTCATGGAAAAGGGCAGTTTCTCTCTTCCCTCAGAAGGCAGAACTTGTGTGTATGCCTAAATAAATAATATTTAGTCTCCCTTGTGTCCAAAACTAAGGCTGGGTACATTAGAGGGTTATTAAAGAAAAAAGACAAGTTCATATGCAACATGGCATGACACTTTGCCAGGAAACAAGAACATCGAGTGTCAAATTACTAATCTGTTTTTTTGTTTGTTTGTTTGTTTGTTTTTGAGACAGAGTCTCGCTCTGTCACCCAGGCTGGAGTGCAGTGGCACAACCATGACTCACTGCAACCTCTGCCTCCCAGGTTCAAGCAATTCTCCTGCCTCAACCTCCCAAGTAGCTGGGACTACAGGTGCACGCCACCACACCCGGCTAAGTTTTGTATTTTCAATAACAACAGGGTTTCACCGTGTTGGCCAGGCTGAGTCTCGAACTTCTGACCTCAAGTGATCGCCCGCCTCAGCTTCCCAAAGTTCTGGGATTACAAGCGTGAGCCACTGCGCCCAACCAAACTGCTAAGCTTTAATTAACTACAGCCTTGACTCACAGGCTACAGGTAAACACATCCCATAGTCCCAGATGCCTTAGTTTAGGGGCATGGACAGGAGGATTCCCTGAGGCACTGGTCTACACAGAGAGGAAAAGCAACGCTGTTTCCAGACTTGCACTGCAGCTCTGCCACCCAGTCATAACCTCAGTCTCAGTGTTCTCATCTGTAAAATGGAGGTGACTCCTGTTAAGTCAGTCTCACAGGGCAATTGTGAAGGTCCAAGAAGAACAGTGGGATTATTATGAACGAAGGAAGCATAGCCAGATCAGTGGCTGGCATTGGTGTTTGGTAGGTGGGCTCAGGCACTGGGAACAAGGAGCCATCTCAATGCGTAAATGGTTTCTCCAGCCCAGGGCTGTTCAGAGAGGGTGCTTAGATCACCAATATCAGAATCACCTGGTAGCTTACTAAAATATGATAGGAGCCGGGCTTGGTGGGTCACACCTGTAATCCTAGCACTTTGGGATGCCGAGGTGGGTGATTTTAAGGCAATCACCATTCTGTCTCAAAAAAAAAAAATATATATATATATATGTATAAAAAATAGGAGTTGTGATAGCAGGCATCTTTGTATTGTTCTTGGTTTTAATGAAAAGAAATGCTTTTAACATTTCACCATTTAGTATATTTGCTGTGTGTGTATGTGTGTATATGTAATAAGTAATCTTTTCATCTTTATCAGATTAAGGATATTTTTTTGGAGATGGAGTCTCACTCTGTCACCCAGGCTGGAGTGCAGTAGTGAGATCTCAGCTGACTGCAACCTCTGCCTCCTAGGTTCAAGCAATTCTCTATCTCAGCCTCCCAAGTAGCTGGGATCACAGGTGCCCGCTACCATGCCAAGCTAGTTTTTGTATTTTTAGTAGAGACGGGGTTTCACTATCTTGGCCAGGCTGGTCTTGAGCTCCTGACCTCGTGATCCACCTGCCTCGGCCTCCCAAAGTGCTGGGATTACAGGTGTGAGCCACTGGGTCCGGCCTTCCCTTGTGAATTTTATTTTATTATATTATATTTTATTTATTTTGAGACAGAGTCTCGCTCTGTCACCCAGGCTGGAGTGCAGTGGCGCAATCTCGGCTCACTGCAACCTCCGCCTCCCAGGTTAAAGCGATTCTCATGCCTCAGCCTCCCAAGTAGCTGGGACTACAGGCAAGTGCCACCATGCCCGGCTAATTTTTGTATTTTTTAGTAGAGATGGGGTTTCATCATGTTGGCCAGGCTGGTCTCAAACTCCTGACCTCAGGTGATCCACCCACCTCAGCTTCCCACAGTGCTGGGATTACAGGCATGAGCCACTGTGACTGGCCTCCTTTATGAATTTTACA